CTCTGTGTGAGGAGTGTCTCTAGGGTCTATATTAGTGTCTGTATTAATCCCTCTGTGTGAGGAGTGTCTCTAGGGTCTATATTAGGGTCTGTATTAATCTCTCTATGTGAGGAGTATCTCTACAGTCTATATTAACGTGAGGTGTGTTTTTAGGATCCATATTAAGGTCTCTGTCTTTCTACAGGCGTGGTGTCTCTCTCTCAGGCTCTCTGCTCCAATGAGGAGTTTTCCAGTTCCCTCCTCCATCTGGATCTCAGTAAGAATCCTGGGATTCTGGCTGGAGAGGAGGCAGCGGTGAGAATTATGCAGATCCCGTGAGCTAGACCTGTGTCCTCCTTGACTGTTCCAGTACTCTACTGTAGTCTTCCTCCTACTCGAATACCTGAGAGTTAACTACCCAGAATTCCTCACAGTAACGTCAGTCCAGTACAGGCATGTCCAGACTGCTGCTTCTGAAACTAGAGCTGTGTCCTCCTTGACTGTTCCAGTACTCTACTGTAGTCTTCCTCCTACTCGAATACCTGAGAGTTAACTACGCAGAATTCCTCACAGTAACGTCAGTCCAGTACAGGCATGTCCAGACTGCTACTTCTGAAACTAGAGCTGTGTCCTCCTTGACTGTTCCAGTACTCTACTGTAGTCTTCCGCCTACTCTCATACCTGAGAGTTAACTACCCAGAATTCCTCACAGTAACGTCAGTCCAGTACGGGCATGTCCAGACCTCTTCATCAACACTCTGGGTTCTGATCTGTGTCTGTCTGTCCCTGCAGAACCTCTACCTGTTCCTGGCTCAGCCCAACTGCCTGGTCCATTTGGACCTGTCCGGCACTGACTGCGCTGTGGACACGGTGAGTGGGCCCTGGGGAGGTTGGAATTGGTTCTGGTGTTCTTGTAGGGGGGCGTGGGCCTGTCTCCTGGTCAGCGGGTGGAGTGGCTGTGATCTGTGTGGGCCGTTGCAGGACCGACTCCGGGTCAGTACTGTTCAGTCCGAAAGCGCTCTCACACCCGGGCTGGCTTTCGGAGCAGTTTCTGGCCATGACGATAGAGGATTCACTGGAACTAGAAGGTGGTCTGGGGGGGGGGCAGGGGGAGGTACAGTGCTCCGCAGCGCCGGGCCCCTGGGTTCGATTCCAGACCTGTCTGTGTGGAGCTTGCATGTTCTCCTCGTCTTCTCTTGGGTTCATTCTGAAAGAACGGGTCCTGGTGTGAGTGTGCTTCTGTGTGTGTGTGTGTGTGTGTGTG